TTGATACCATTTTTACAATATGGCTGTGGCTGACAATCTCCTTTTCCTACCCAATAGCCATTGTCCTTTTTTCCCCAGCTAAAGTTACCTTTGATCTCAAGATATCCCTTGATCTCAGAGAAGATAGAACTAGCTCTCTAATTTAGTGGTTAAAAAAAAAAAAAATCATGATGAATTTAAAGCAGTCTCTTTCCTTTGGCCAATAATTGTCTTAAAGATGTACACATGACTCAGTTCTAGCCAATGAGATGTTTGTGGAAGGCAGCTTGAGATGAGAAATCAAATACCCTTGTTTGAATGAAGACTGAAGTTAGCAATGAGGAAATGACTTCTCCTTTCTGAGTCTGCCTGCCTTTATGTGGATGCAATAGCTGCAGGTGCAACGATTTTGTGACCCAAAGAGAAAAGTCAAGAGGCAGATTTCAACTCTGATATTAAGTAGACGAACTAATGCCACCAACCTTCTACTCCTGAACTTCATTATATGATAAAAATGATCACTATTTAAGCTACCATTTCAGATTTCCTGATACAAGTAGTGAAACTCATTCCCAACAGCTATGACAGTACAGACACAGTCTTCCCAGGATAACTATAATTGGAGTGAGTGACACAAACAGAAAAGCTTCTCTTCTATTTTTCATTTCAGCTGAGTACACTGGGCCTCTATTGTATTAACACCCTCTGGTAGGATCAGGATGACAAAAACTGGGGTTTTTATAATCTCTTACTAATATGGATACTTTCAAACACAAGCTCAAGAACCTGCCCTTGACTCCATGAACAAAATTGTGCCATCTGGGTGGTAATGAAGCAAAGTGTGTTTTTACAGAACAAAATATGAGAGGCTTCTTTCTGTTCCTTCATACCTGAGAAGTTACTTTTTCGTCCACAACACTAATCTGTAACAAAGCTGTGCAGTAAAAGATAACCTTATTTGAATATACAATCAGTCTATAATTAACCAGAGATGACAATTACAAATAACACTGTGTCCCAGAGTTTCCAAAAAACCTGACACACACGGTTCTTGGGTATGTTGAAACACTTCCAAGAAAAGTAGAGAAATAAAAAAAATCTTTTACAAGTCTTCCATTAAAACATGTGTTTCTGTAAAAATGACTTTCATGATGTGTTTTGGTACATATCACTCAGAAATCACTGGTCTCTATCTTCACACCTCTAATTGTTTTCACTGTCCAGTTACAGCTTTTCAGAATTAAGACCTTCTAGCTGGGATAACCACATGACTGCCTATTTGAGATGTGAAGAAAAGTTAATGTGTATAAGGCTGTGTGCCTAAGAAAACAGACCTCCACCACAAGATTCCAATTATCTGGAGCTCAGGTCATGGTATCTTTTAGGTTGATGTAAAGCACCAGGCTGAACCTGTTTTCTTTTGTTCCTTTCTCCCAGTTCCTTGCCTTCTTTCTTTCTGCTTTATCTCTCGCACTCCTTACCTTATTTTCTGAGTTTAGGGAGTTAGGAATATTATTATTATTATTTTGAGACAGAGTCACCCAGGCTGGCATGCAATGGCCTGATCGCAGCTCTCTGCAACATCTGCCTCCCAGGTTCAAGCGATTCTCCTGCTTCAGCCTCCGGAGCAGCTGGGATTACAGACTGTGTCATCATGCCTGGCTAATTTTTTTATCTTTAGTAGAGATGGGGTTTCATCACGTTGGTCAGGCTGGTCTCAAACTCCTGACCTCATGATCTGCCCACCTCAGCCTCCCAAAGAAGTGATGGGATTACAGGCATGAGCTACCACACCCAGTTGGGAGTATTATTTTAGATGGAATAACACGCCCTTCTTTTGGGATTCAAGTAATATAAGATGATAGTGCAAAATGTAAGAGGAATTTATCATACATTATTTAATGTATTTCACTAAACTCTGTGGCAACATTTCAAACCAACTACTGATCCACGTATTTATTGGCCATAGATAATACTGAGTGATCATAAAACTCAAATAAAAAGTTAAGTATTAGAAAAATAACATAATACACATGGACATGTGGTTCATGTGAAAGAAAATGTGTCTACCTTTGTCAATTCAAGTATATAATGGATTTGACATGCTAAACAATATGAGGTCTTTATTCAGTTCTATAGGTGGGCTCATACACATAAATATGTAATGAGTCACAGTCAAATAATAATTTGATCCAAACTGTAAGCTCTATAAAGGGAGAACTCACACTTTCTGGTTTAACTCAATACATATCACAGTCTCTAATACAGAGCATGTGCTAATGTTCAATAATTACTAATTAGAAGATGTAAGTATGACATTATTATCTCATTTCCATAAGTTACACAAACACAGATTGATCATTTATATTCTAGAAATGATACTCAAGTTATTTCAACAGGAAAAGTCAAGCACAAACTATAGTAATATCTTCTTCAAAGAGTTTCAATAATTTCAATTACATTTTCAGGTGTCAGGGTAACATAAGGAATGAGATAATTCAGATCCATTGGTTGAGAAGGTTTCCTTTTACATTACAAGAGTTTGTTATACTATTACAATAATGAAACTGCTCATTTTCATAATTTAAGTTTTTCACGTAAAAACTCATAAATTGTAAGACTATAGTTCAAGATGTAACTCCACTAAATCAAAAGTGCATGCTGACAAGATTCAGGAATGATGAACTTCTTGAGAACAGAGACATCTTTTTAGTGATTATACATCAAACTCCACATAAAACCTGGGAAACTAGAAAGCTATCCAAATTAGCAATCTGCTCATTCTAGACAATTCTGCTTGACTCATAAGCTTCCCATTATGATTAACTTTCCAGTTATTGCTAAGTAGTTGATCATTTTTTCTCTTATCTACTGGATCTAGAAGATTCCGTAAAGGGGATTGGGTAACATTTTAAAATTTCAATTTTAACTGTCCAACAGGTTTTGGCAGGTATTATTTAAAAAATAGATTTTTTTAAGTTGTTATAATTCTACAAAAGAGAAAGGAAAGTTGAAGCAGTAGCTAACCACAGAGGCATCTCTCACTCCTGCAATCCAAGTAAGAGGTGCTAATCAGAGAAATAAAGTATGATTGTGGAGATGGAACACGAAGTGGAAATAAGGTCCCCTAACAATGGACAAGTATATAATAAAGTGAATGCAGATGGTTCCACTCCTGTTACTTAATGAAAAGGCTGTGCAGAGTCACTGGAGCCAGCATAAAGTCATGTGTTAGAACAACAGCTGATCTGTATTAGAGAAGATTAACTCACAGTGCCATGGCGGAGGTCTCAGGATTATTTTATGTACTTCCATTGCCTTACAAGCCGTCAGCACAATTATTGCCCTCCGATCTGAATGACTGATCTGTAACCACAGCTAAACAGCACGCTGCTTAGGGGCCTAGGAGCTTCATGAAGATGAATTTCCATACCATCAAAGTACTTTTAATGGGCTCCCTGATCCAACCACAAGGCCTGCTTTGCAAGTATACAGAACTCAGGACGAAGGCTTCCTGTCCAAAAGGATTTGGTCGGTTGTCACTTGACAATTCCCAGCCAGCACTGGGGACGAGAGGGGGGAGATAGGTAGAGTTGTCTCTGCTTTGGAGGATTAAAAAAAAAAAAGGGTACAGATGCTTGCTGAATGCAACCAACTGCTGCATCCACAGCTGAATTCAATGCGCTTAACAAATAACGGCAATTTAGCTATGCTTGCAAGGAATAGCTTGAGTCACTTTGCATTAGCATCTGGCTGAGTGTTAAACTCATTTCTACATGGGGAGCAGAGAAAAGGAATTTCTGTTTAAGCATCCTTTCAAGAATGTTTAAATATTTGAATATAAATTCCTTTATGCTTGCTATCATTCCTTCTTAGAACTGTCACTTTGCTTTCCCCCTTCCTTTTGGTGCTTAGCTATAAAAACATGCCCTTCTCAGGACACCAATGTCATATGTCTTATGTTGTAAGACTGTAAGGGATGTATACTGATCCATGCTTTGCTCTCCCCTCTGGACACACAATAGAACTGAAATCATTTCTCCATCCTCAACTTTTACCATATTAGGACCAGGGAAACAGCAGTTGTGACAGGATCACCCATACCTTTCACCTTCACTATGCAGTTTGCCAGCTTTTTAGTGATTATACATCAAACTCCACATAAAACCTGGGGAACTAGAAAGCTATCCAAATTAGCAATCTGCTCATTCTAGACAATTCTGTTTGACTCATAAGCTTCCCATTATGATTAACTTTCCAGTTATTGCTAAGTAGCTGATCATTTTTTCTCTTATCTACTGGATCTAGAAGATTCTGTAAAGGGGACTGGGTAACATTTTAAAATTTCAATTCAAAACATGTCAGATATTCCAAAAGTACATAATTCTGATGACTTTACAACCTATAATATCTTTCTAAGTAAAATACCATGTATGCTTAGACAAAAGGGCTTGAAATCATTGTATCTCAGACAAATTCAGACATTTCACTGGCCTTAGTTATAATACAAATAATGTCAAAGTTTTGCTTTATGATAAAGTCAAAATTTCCAGTTGTGAACTCGTCTAACACTTAGTGCTTTGCACTGGAAACATATTATGACAAGCTCAGGATCCTAAATACTTAGAATATGAGCATGGGTATCATCCAAGCTTATGCTGATTAAAGAAGATTCAGCATTTCAAATCCAGCTCATCCCCAAATACAAGTTAAGCATCTCTGAAAAGCAAAACTTTTAGTCAGGCTCGGATATTTCAAATGCCATTTTGTTTTGATACAAGCTGTGGCATAAAAGGGGATATTCACTGTCAATAAGGTTTGGAGATGGATAAACAGAATTATTACTCTTCCCATTTCCAGATGGTTTTGATTAGGATGACAATGAGGCCTTCTGTATTGATGGAGGAAGAAAAGGGACAGAGAACCATCATTCTGAGGATGGTAAGACAATGAAAAGATTTTTTTTAAAGCATTAGGCAATTTAAGTATTTTTAGAAAGTAGGTTATTTTTATGAACTGACCTTTTCTGTTCGGCAGTTATTGAGACCCAGACTATTCACAACAGCCACCTTCCCATCAAGCACCTGTTGTTCCCGTCTAAGTTGTTCCTTCATTTGCCGAGCTTCTTGGATTGCCTTGGTGACAGCATCGTGGTCATTTAAGTAACCTGAAAATGAGACAGATCAAAGGACATCTTTTGTATGAATGCATGTCCAGGCTAACCTTTAACCATAAAAATCACTTCTTTTGGTAACAGCTAGTGTCCGACCTATAATGATTTCTCCATGGAATTCATCTAAAATGAATGAATAAATAATTGACAATGATGGATTCACAGTCATACATGCCATATACAAACATGTTTCTAATATGTTCAAATATCTGTAATAAAAATACAATACCTGGGTGAAATATGGTTGTTTCCAACTATTTTGAAATAAATTAAAAATTGCTTTATTATTCAAATATTACTTTGTAGTGCAAATATAAAACCCATTTTTAATTTTTTTTCCTGCAAGGAACATTCGAATGTTAGCATAGAATTTAGGTATTCGTGATTTTAGCTATGATTATTGAGTCTCTCTAGTAGTAGAAAGACACTTAAGAGGGTCTATTTAGCACTATTAGGTTTGTTATATACAGAAGAAATAAATCATTATTAACTGACTGAAGAGCACTTTCCTCCTAAATCCATTTATGGTGAAATAAACCACAGGTGGCAGTGGTTTGCTATGGATGCAAACTTGTAATAGTTAGGCTAAATTTCATGCACAGAATGTAACCAAGCACCTGTAATTGTTTGATAAGAAATTGTGGCTACTCTCAACTATATCCACACTTAATTCACACTCTTAATAAGATGGCCAAATGATTAGCTTATGTATGCAACTCCACAGTCCATGGTTAGTAAAACACACTACCAAAATCTTGCTTCTACAGAATAACAGGTGTAACAATCAAAACTAATTTTTAACTTAATTTTAATGTTAACACTGGTCATTTATTTATGTATGTTAGTATGATGAGGTGCATGGTATTAGAATAGAATAGAATAGAATAGAATACTGATAGAAAAACATGTTTTGCAAATATTTAAAGAAAAGCTAATATCTTTTTCTCTCCCTGTCTTTTAACTAGGGCATAAAATGGCATAAAATGAATCTGCAATATGAAATTGCCCAGAAAAGGGACTTGTTTGTGACACGAGGCTAAATCTAACCAGATCCATTGGTGAATTGTGACAGATGGAGGGTCTGTGAGACAGAAGGCAGGCACTAATCACACATAAAATGACCGGCTTGCCTCAACATGTTCCATGGATTCCAGCAAACTTTACACCCTAATCCATTTTTAGAACAAAAAACATCTGGGCCATAAATCCTCTAATCTGCCAAAACACGCTATTAAATCCCATGATTTGTTGAAAAACACTAAGATTAAAGAAAGGAAATATAAAATGGCTAACTGCCGTGTTAGGAAAGTGTTATTAATACTCTTTGTCTCAATTATGAATGTTCTGGTACTAAAGAGCCTTGTCTAATCATGTCAGATTACACATCCTTGTTGTATTGCTAGACTCTTCTATCTGATCTGGTGATTGCCAAAAAACATAGAATATTTTCTTACTGCTTAAAGGTTTCTATTCAAGAAACTGATGTCAGATTACTGCAGTATTCAGTGCTGGCAGGTTTCTAAATTATCCATTTTTCCCCTATTACTATGCACAGAGTAGACCTGGTCCTCTGATCTCCTTGAGGCAGAAGGAAAAGTTCCAGTGTAGGCGATAGAGAGGGGAAGCTTGAGAGTGATTATATATTTTGTCTTTCAGAGCAAAATTCATTGGAACTTATTCAAAGAACAAAACATCTCTGCTCATTATAAACACAATAATGAATTGAAAACAACTCTAACCCTAGAACAGATCTTTAGGGTTAATATTTACTGTAAAAGATGATTGTATTTTATTATTCTCAACATCCTAATTTGGTTCTCCTATTGCATCCGTCTTAATGTATAATTCTTGAGGTTGTTCATGAACAAGATTACTCTAGATAGAAATAAAACTCTCACATGACAATGATGATCTCGGTATATGTTCCTTTAGTAATATCTTAAGAGGGTTAGTCTGATTTTTCTATGCTCTAACCCCTGCTTATATACAACCTGGCATCATACATTTTTGTAGTCTATTTAGCTTCTATGTAGTGTAATTAGCTTCTCCAGAACACAAATATATTTGAAATGGCTTGGCACATGGCACTGAATAAAAGCATGAATTCTTTATGCTTTTTAGGGACTGCCAAGATAACATTGTGTAGGAAAAATGATTAATATAGATGCAAGAGGAATGTAAATTATTATGAGGGGGAGTAACTGACAGACCTATGTTCTGTAATGGTTATTTCCAATTTGAGATGTGTGTTTCTGTGCAGGTAGAAATAACTGTTCACTTTAAAATAAACATTTTTGCTTTTAGAGACTCTTGAGTTTTAGTTATAATGCTATATGAAATGTTAACATTCATATCTGCTATGTTAAATCATAAAGCCATTTATACATGACAACATTCAATCTTAATAGGATTGTTTCCTGGTTCTTTACAGTTTGTTCTCATCATAGTCACCAAATCCTGAAGCCTGCTGACTCCGTCTCTCTCAGCAAATGGCCTTGCCTCTGGTTTTGCAAGGAGCAATAAGGCTGAACTCTCACCTTCCTGACCCTACCCTCACTTTTACCTTCCGCTGCCTTCAAACTCATTTCCATTTATGCCATTTTGTTCCTCCTGTTTCAATAAAAATGGTCCCTTTGCTCTCAATCAAGGCAAATCTCCTGTTAGAGTTGCAGATTTCTTTCTTTCTTTCTTTTTTTAAACTATATACATATATGTTATTGCATTTTAGGTTCTGGGGTACATGTAAAGAACATGCAGGATTGTTGCATAGGTACAAACATGGCAATATGGTTTTTTCTATACTTCTTCATTGATTATTCTATTTCTCACTGTATCATCTATCTAATCATCTCTACCATCTCTACCACCTCAACCTGTAGATACTTATGAGGTCAAGAGATGGAGACCATCCTGGTCAACAAGGTGAAACCCTGTCTCTACTAAAAGTACCAAAAATTAGTTGGGCATGGTGGTGCGTGCCTGTAATCCCAGCTACTCGGGAGGTTGGGGCAGGAAAATTGCCTGAACCCAGGAGGTGGAGGTTGCGGTGAGCCAAGATCCTGCCATTGCACTCCAGCCTGGGTAACAAGAGCACAACTCCGTTTCAAAAAAAAAAAAAAGTTTTCCTTTCTCCTAAAACAAGCAAATAAAGTATCTTCTTTAACTCTGTTTTGCCTTCTTTTTACAACATTGTTTCTCTTTTTATCTTCTAAGTCAAGCTTCTAAAAGTTGCATTATCTCATAATCTCCCGTTCCCTCCTTAGTCTCCAATTCTCACCTCAATTTTGTTTCTGTTGCTATTGGTCTTTAGGTGTCAAATAAATCCAAAGGACATTTTCCATTTCTTGACAGGAATGACAGGACTGACCATCCTCTCATTATTGAAACTCATTTTAGCGTTATTCTTTTTTCCTCACTGCCTCCTCTGTGTTTGTATCCCTGGGATCCTTCCTTCACCTAATCCTTAGATTTTGGTCCAAGATTCTAATCATTAGAAAAAGCATGTAAGTTTTGGAGCTGGGAAAGCTTGAATTGAAATCCTAGCTTTGACACTTACTAGCTATATGAATTGTTTTACTTTTCTACATTGCAGTTGTCTCATAAATTAAATAGGGGTAACACTCAATAACAGAAATGTCAAGATTAAGTGAGTTAACATAGTTTTTAATTATAATAAATGGTCAATTAAAGCTATTCAGTAACTGTCACTTTATAAAGTGGCATAGTAAAATATGTAAAATTTGGAAATTTGATTCAACTGGATCTGGGATTTCCACTTCTCAGTAAGTATGATATTTGACAAATTTTAATGCTCAATCTAAGTTTTCATTTCTCTTAACTATAAAAGGAAGGTAAAGTTAATGGAAGAATTAGATGAAAAAACACATGTGAAGGAGCAGATAGCACTTGGTATCTGTGGAGGCAGGAAAAGATGTTAGACGCCTTTCTTTACTCCACTTTCATTTTCCCTATATGTTCATCCTTAGCACTCTTGTTAACATGGCGTTGACTATTATGGTGAAATCTGTGGGGGGACATCATTCACTGGCTGGCACAGAGGTTAGATGAAATGGGTGTCAGACCATAAAGGCCAGAAAGATACATAATGGTTACCTGATGGATACATTTTATTTTGCCTTCATTATAGATTCAAGCAGCAATTGCATCTAAAGTCAGGATCAGATGGGAGGGCATGTGTATAGGAGAGGTTTGGTGAACCTCAATCTTAAGAGGAAAATGAGATGGCAAAGGTCAATATAACTCACAGTTAACATCTCAGATGAGATTTGGAAAATGCAGGTAAGGAATCATTAATGTAAGAAATTTGTGAGATTCTGTAACTTTGTTAAATTCAGTATAATTTGATTTTTTTTTTTTTTAGAAACAGGGTCTCACTGTCACTCAGGCTGGAGTGCAGTGGCATGAACATAGCTCACCGCAAACTTGAACTTTTGGGCTAAGGCAATCCTTCTGCCTCAGCCTCCTGAGTAGCTGGGGCTATTGGCATGTGCCACTACCTCCAGCTACTTTTAAAATTTTTGTTGAGATAGAGTCTTGCTATGTTGCCCAGCCTCGTTTTGAACTCCTGGATTCACACAACCCTCCCAGCTTGGCCTCCCAAAGTGCCAGTATTACAGGTGTGAGCCACCATGCCCGGCCTATAACTTGATATTTTATGCTTCAGTATTTCTTCTTAACCATTACCAAAAATATTCTCAAAGATTTTGCTTTTTTAATTAAAAAGGTCCCTTATATATTCTTTTCAGGGGCAGAAAAAAAGGGACAAACTAGAAAGTACAATTTTGGAGGAGATAAATTCTAAAAGGAAAGAATTAGTAATGGCTGCTACACAAGGAAAGAAAATAAACTACAAAATCACTTGTAATGGGTTGAATCATGTCTGCCCAAAAGAAATATTGGAGTCCTAAACTTCATTATCTGTGACTGTGGCCTTTTTTGAAAACAAGGTCTTTGAAGATGTAATTAAGAATCTC